ACTGGTGCCTTTACTTTGGCTTTCCCCTCTTCCCCCTTTGTCCAGTACTCTAAACAAAGCTATCTCTGCATTTAGCCCACTCTATCAAGGGATTTTTAGACTCTTTTTTGGGTGAAGAGTGCTGTCTTCACATCAGTAAGTTGAGTGTGGATAAGAGAGGGATTAAACACATAAAACACCAACAAAGTGTCTTCCTAAAATAACTCTCCCTCCTTTTGGCCATCTTTTACACCATGTGCAGTATATTATTATCTCCTCTTATCCTCATTATCTTAGTGCCTACCATTTATGATTTACATGTTTCAAAAGTTCTTACAAGAATAACTGCTACATCCTGAGAAATTGCTATCCTGATTCATCATGCAGGAACAAAACCAGACTGCTTTGTTCCACTCAGACTGATCCACAGAATATCCCCCACTCAATGGCCTTTATCAGCAGAAAGCAGCCAGAAAGGGACCAGTGCCCTATCTCCCTGTCTATACACACAGTCTGGAATGAGGGGAGCAAGAACACAAGTTTGGCCCATACGTCCTCAGGATAGTAAGTAGAGAATCTCCCACCTTGGACTCCTGTACTGCATTGCAAAGACTGATCTAATCTTCCCTTACCCCGGTGTCTGAATTCCCTTATTTGCAGGAAGCGAGACCCAGCAAGATTGAAATGCCCTGTGAAAAGTTGGTTTGGTCTCTGCTCACTCTTTCATTGTCTTGGAATTCCCCCACCCCTAGGAACACCCTCAAAACCCCAAACTATAAAAAGCTCAGCCTGCTGAAGGCCAGGCCTCTGTCATGTGGTCACTCCTTCTACACACAGGCAGGGGCCACCTCTCTGAATTAATCTCCAATAAATTCAATTTGGATGTTGAATAATAATAATAATGATAAACACAGTAAGAACAGTAAATGGGTATGGGAGGTGATGGTCCAGGATAGCTGCCTAGAATCAGCTTCATCGTATGGGCCATAACTGTAAATCCATGGGTAGGATTCAGACCTTGCCAACCAACAACTATCTGAGCTGATATTAAAATATTTGGTATTTCTGTGGCATTGATTAAACCAAATGCTAGCAATGGACTAGGGTGGAACTTGAGGCTTGTGAATTGACCTCTTGTCTAATAGAAATCCCAGACATTACCCCAAAAAGATGATCTAGCATATTTGCATAGCTGTGTGACTTGTTCTGAGTCAACATTGTTCTATATATCCATTCATTTATTTGGGAGACCTTTATTGGATTTCAATGTCAGGTTTGCAAGAAACAACACCAAATGAGATGATATGCTGAGAATTATTTCTCTTCGGCTTGCACTGCATAGTGATCCAATTGCTATAATGAAAATTACCTCTATCTTGGTGGTAGTGCTTGCCTGCTCTCTAAGATGAAGTAAGAAAAATGACAACTTCTGAATCCTGATGATTAGCATGGTACCTGAAACCTAGGAGCTGCTCAGTAAACGCTATTATGCTGAACAGACATGATCTCTGCTGTTGAGATATCTTCTGTGTAGCATGTGAAACAAATATTCATTTTGATGTGAAGAACAGAAAGTAGTCCAGGCACTACTGAAATTAGGTGCTAAGAGCAGTGATGGTCAGCATAGCACCATAGGGTTGAATTTTTCCTCCTAAGGTGGAGGAGAACTGTTATTAGAATCAGGATTCCTTCCCCTTCTGCATTCATTCATTTCATAATTATTTCTGGAATCCTTAACTAGTCATGGGGTAAATTTAATGAATCCTTTGGTTTTCAAGATTTGTTCTTTATCTTTCTGAAAGGAAAGCATTTTTTCTGAGAATCTTAGGACTGGTAATTTTAATGAGTGGCCTTTGAGTGAATGGAGCTCAGCAAAAACATTGTACCTACAGGACAAAAGGAAATTGGGCATTTGTTAGTTTTTACATGCAATTAAGTTCTTATACACAACTGATTTCTCAAAGCCAAGTCCTTTTTTCAAAATAAATCTGCCACCATAAACCAAAATGCTAGATGTAGTGAGGTACCTAGAAGGTCCTTTATTCCAGCAGGGTAAAGATAGGAGTGGATACAGAAAGAGAGAGAGAGAGAGAGAGAGAGAGAAAGAAGAAGAAATGAAACCTCTCCTGCCATGGTGGCATGAGTGGGCTGCCGGCCAGGGGAAGGGGACAAGATGGAGGAGGACTGGAGAGAGCCAAATGGGGAAGCCATAGCACATGTATGGGGAGAGAGGAGGAAATGAGGAAGAAAGAGGAAGATGGGCGGTTGTGAGAGATTGATGGATGGGATTGTTGGAGCCCCAAGGGATTGGTAGGTGGGTTGGGGTTGGAGGAAGGGCTGTGAGGGATCGATGGACAAATGGAACAGTATGAAATTTGCAAGCCGTGGGAAAGGAGAAGCAGACATCAAATATAGTACAGAATCCAAAATGGCAAGGGTCTTTAGTCTTTAGGGCCAATGTTTGAGTCACTCCTTACACCATTCAATTCCTTAAATTAGCCAAGAAGGCAACTCTTTATTGAGTACAATAAAATGCTCATCATTTTCAGAGTGTTATAAATTTATTCTGAATTGTATTACCTTTAAGTTATTTCAGTGGAAAGTCCCCAAAACACTTTGGCTTTCTTCTATCTTTATTCTTCCTATTCTTGGTAAATTCTTAATTTTTTTTTCATTTTTGAAATAATAAAACTTCTAGTGGATTCCAAAGTACTTCAATCTCTGCTTTTTTTGGACGTATTTTTAGTAAAATATAACATCATGGTCAGAATGATTTTTTATTAGCTTGGGCAATTGTTCTTTGGTTCTTTCTTCTTCCCAGAGTCAGGCTATTTTTGCCAATTTTCATTACATTATTATTACAAAAATTGGACTAATCAAGGCTTCTAGGGTTTGAAAATTATACTTAATATTTCACTGGCAATTTACTGATCCCAAACTAGACTTATCTTCAGGTTCTGAAGTAGGACCATATCTCCTTTGCAAAATGGCATCTTAGGAAAAACACTTCTGAGGCACTTTTGCTTCAGCATAGACTTTTACTAGGATTGCTTGGTTTCTAATGATCCTAGAAATTACTTACATAATGACTAAGTTTTTTAGTCAGCTGTATAAGTCAAAACAGGAAGCATTTTTGACCTCTGAACTTTGAAGCAGGGCTATGGAAGATAGGTGTCAGGCATTGCAGAAATGGTTCAGAAAGTTGAAGTGGACATAGACGGATCCTGGGGCTCAGGAGTACCTCCACTAGTTCTGACTTAACCTGAAGGATAGGAGTGATTCAGACCCCAATATGCTCCCTACATACTGAGTATTACAGGAACCCTGAGTGTTCTCTTCAGGATCTGCAAGCCAAGGAACTGAAAGGAATATTAATGCTCTTGTGAAAAATTGCAGTTCTGAATCCAAACTGAAAAGTACAGAAGCTAGTTTTAGAGGTTTGAAAATTTAGGACGGGTTTCCTTTTCCCAAAATGTTCCAGGATGAAAAGAGTGTGAAGGTGGAGTTCCTGAGGACGGGGGAATGAGTTAAGATGTGGGATTGAAATGTCATTGTAAACACAACATTGGTATTTTCCCAAGTGTGCTGGATAGAAAGTAAAAAGAAACATTGTTATAAGTATTCTATGTCCCTCATAAAACCAAATTCTGTTATTTCCAAACCTGAGGAATGTTTAGCCTGGCGTGCTGGCTCATCTTCAGCTTATTCAGACCCCTGTGATCAGGGAACACACAGTGTCCATCATGTGCACATGAACTATTAAGCAGAAATGTAATGCTTCTTTCAAACTGTGGGTGTCTGTTGACGCCAGAGATGAGAACTGAATTACCCACGAGCTCATGGTCTGCTTGTCTTCACATACAAAATAGTGATATTGGCCCTTTTGTTGAGAAAGAAATGGCATCTGAAAAGGCAATTTTGATAATGAAAATAATGTATCTGGAAGATCCGGGTGGCAGTTAAATTTATGGGATTGATTAACTGTCCACACTTGTCCTAATCCCTTAATCTCCTTATACCTTAATTTCCTCAACTCATAAATGCAGATACTAATACCTGCCTCTTAGGATTTTGCAGTTATGAATTGAGATAAAATATACCAAACTCTTTGCAGATTTAATTTAAGTCCACTTTTATTCCAGGAGTTCTGCCAAGGGATGGGAATAAATTAGTAAAGGGCGCACTTTTTGTCCTCAAGGAATTGGAAGTAAAAAGTAGGATAACAATAAATGACTATAATGAGTATAAATATGGTGATATTAATGATGTAAGTATTGATATTGATATTATAGCATATAAATGATTATAAATATGGTAATATTTTGATAATATGAAGCACAAAGTAGACTAAGGTGTACTTATAAGACAAGCGAAATGCCTGAGCTTAGAAACAAAGGATGGCTCAAAGGTACATTCATGAGGCTTTCAATGGGGAGTTTGTCATATGCGTGCTATGCTATAGGAATTACTCTACAGTACTAATTATTACTCAAACTTTATTCACAAAATCTGACTACAGAAAATTTTTTAAAATCTACTTATTACTTTTATTTTACTTAAAAGACAGACAGAAAGATGCAGAAAGAGAGCTCCCATCTGCTGGTTTACTTTCTCAATGCTTGTAAGAGCTGGGATGGGCCAGGCCAATGCCAGGAGCCTGGACCTCGCTGGGTATCCCACGTGCATGGTAGGAACTCAGATGCTTGAGGCTTCCCCTGTCCATTCCCAGGGTTTATCTTTGTAGGAAGCTTGGTCAGAAGTGGAGTCGTTAGGATTTGAATCCAGTATTCTGATATTAAACGTGAGTGCCACAAGCAGCAATTAACGGTTGCCCAACAGGTATGATGCAGAGAAATTAATCATATAGCTTTGAAATGTTTAACGCGGATCTTTTAAGGAATAAAATCATAATAATAAATATTTAAAACTTCTGTTCAGCAGGGACATTTTTGAGTTGAGAGCAATAGGATGATAAATCAGATTTCACCTTATAAATGCCATCAACTTGCAGCAAGAGCAAGTATCAACTGATGTTAATATTGATCTTATCTAGTAAATGATTGATATATATTCAGATGTTGGCTCACTCACTTTGGTGATTATAACTAGGATTCTGTATTGAGCAGCTGAACTGTACAGATAGTACAGCAATGCAGGCGGTTATCTTGGGAGCCATCTCGCCTACACTGTTCTTAGAAAATCCTCCAACACCCAGAATTATTATACAGGTTGGCTCTTGTTGTGTGCATAGGGAAGCAGGGTCCACTTTTTGCTGTGTACAAAATAAAAGGCTTTGTTAGTTCAATGAGATCACAGGCTTTGCATTTTTTTTTCCATAGATGGCTTATACTTTTTCCAGGTGCCTTGGGAATTGCATAGAGGAACTGTGATATGCCAAACACAACCCATCCATAGCTTGCCCTTCTCAAGGATAGCTTCTGTTAGCCACCCAGTTCTGATGTGGGCCGAGATACCTATTATAAAGAAAATTATAAGCATCTGGTGACCATTTTTTTGTGGATTTTTATAGTAGGTATTAGATTTCTAGTTTAAAAAAGAAATGGGCTCTTTGAAAGGTAGACTTCATATCCAAGGTCACAGAGCTGTCAGTTCAGTCTGGCCACAAAACCTGTGCTCTGTCACTCACACTACAATACCTTGAGGGCACCAGAAGCTTAGTGAACTATTACCCTATAGGTATATTTGCAGTTTATGTAAATATACTGGGAAAGGTCGTGCTGATTTAAAGGAGTATACTTAAATATAAGGCTATTAAGAGCTGATATGGGAAGATATCATTTCACCTGGGGAAGGGGAGAGGGGGGAATATAAAATTCAATAATTTGCATAATTCTTGACAACTCTGTCTTTTGGCTCTCTTTTGTAGTATCTGCAGCAGAAAGAATTGGTTTAAACTTACTGTTTCCAATTCTTCCAGGACTGTCTCTCTTAAACACATTCTCCAGTTAGATCTTTGCCTTCAAATTACAAAAATCAATGCTATTATTAAGATCTGAAATTAATGTCACCTTGCTAAAACTAATGATCAGGCCCCAATCTTTCTCTTCCTTAATGCATTGGTACCGTTTATCTATGGGGATCAGTCCTTTTTTGGAAAGTTTTCTTCAATTGATGTTTCAGCAGCTGGCCTGTCTTTGTTCTCTTCCTACTCCATGAACTGGTTTTGGTCATTCTTTATGAGTCTTTTACATTTCCCTGGTTTCTAAATATTTAAGAGTTGCTGTCAGTATGTTTTTAGTGTCATAATTTTACACAGTATTCGAAGCAAAAGTTTCTATGAACGTGGGTGGGTACCACAACATCTACCAGCATAAGGCACACATGGAAAGCATGCGGAACCTTGTGTCTCTCACCTGTTTCATCAACACTTCTGTTTTAGGGAAATACCTATGGTCCTGTGGGAGTTTCCAGGAGCCCTGCTAACCAAGAAAGAAAAACAAATAGGCCTGGAACATGTGGGTTGCATCAACTTAAATGCAGTGTGGACAAAAATGGACTGCCACTGTGCTATGGCTCCTTTTGAGGATGGCCCTGGAAGGGAGTGATGAGAGGGTTCTTCCCAGGGGGCAGTTTCAGATGACACATCTGGTCTCCCACTGTGAGTAGAGGAAGCAGTGGCCCTGTGATCTCCCACATTCAGTGTTCTCCTCACACTTTCAGTGTTCCTTTATATCCTTGGTCCTTTGTCTAAACTGTTCCTGTCGGGTGATATGACACCCTCAGTATGTCTTGCTGGAACAATGTCCATTCTGTTTTCTAAAACTGAGTTGAAATGTAATATTATGAAAGTGGGCATTTATTCTAGCAGTTAAGATACAAGAGGCACACATCCCATATTGGATCTATTTATCTATCTATACGCATACATACACACACACACATATTGAGAGAGAATTTTTTTACTTTTCAAATAATAATGAAAGAGAAATGTAGCCTCTTTCGAGAAGGTTAACAAGATTCTGGCCAACTGGATATCTCTTCCTTTGGCAGATTATTTTTGTGCTTGTGTCTCTGGTGTAGATACCCTTGCCTGAATCCATACTGGTTCTTCAGATCATGAGGCTTTAACCCCTTCAAAGAACAGGGACAGATAAGAATGATCGAGCAAGTGAAGTCTAGATGCCATGTGTAGGAATAAATGGATGAACTCTGAGGCAAATGCTGATGCCTGCAAGACTATTATTTGATAAATCAATTAATATGGGGGAGGGGAGTAGTTGGGGCTGGTATGGTGGCAAACAAGCTGTCCTCCACCTGCTGATGCTGACATTCCATATGAGCACTGCTTCGTGTACCAGCTGTTCTACTTCTCTATCTAACCCCCTGCACCCATGTGGGAGACCTGGGAGACACTCCTGGTTCCCAGTTTTGTAGCTACCCAGCTCTGGCCGTTGCAATCATATGGGGAGGAAACCAACAGATGAAAGATCTCTCTCTGCTCTCCTTCTCCCTCTGAAACTTGGACTTTCCAAGTAAAATAAATGAACTTTAAACACACACACACACACACACACAGAGAAATCAATGACCCACAGTTTTGCCATTGGGATTTTACCCACATTATCTTTCTTCAGAGCTGACAGCTCCTCCTGTCCTTGATCTCACTTGACACCTATATAATCAAGTAGCATCGAGAAGAAAAACCATTCCAGAATCTTCCAGTACACCCTAAGCCTTGGCAAAGATGAAAGCTGATGAGTGGCTACCAACGTGGCCTCAATACAGATGCTCCTGGTTTGGAGCATCTGATAAATGGAGAGTCCAGGCCTTTTCATTTATAACACAGGGACTTATCCAAACAGAAGGAAAATACACAATTTAGAGGGACAAACTCACTAAGGTGGTTTTTTTGTTTGTTTGTTTTTGTTTTTTCTTACCAAGATGAGCCTTCAGGAAAAAAAGATATTGCTATAAGAAAATTTGAAAGAAAATCAGAGTACGTATGTAAGGCATGTACTCAAGTGTTTTGTGCTCACTGTGACATCTATGTTTCAGAGTCCACGACTGTACTTTCGGGAAGCAGGTGAGGGGTGGGGGAGTATTTGTAGTGGTAGATGCGTGGGATAGGTCAATGCTGAGAACAAGGAGACCCCGTTAGAGAGTTCATGTGCTGCTAGGAAATAGAAACTGGTGTGACTTGTGTTGAATATATGATGTGAGTGACACTTTAGAAAGTATGTCATATTTGAATGGATATCTGAATATTAAGAGACGCAAACCCAAAACATAGCAAGAAAAAGAACCTCTCAGGGAGAGGGATCAGGAAATGAAAAGACTTAAAACTGGGAAGGTGTTTGATTGATCAAGAAGTTGTAGATGAATAAGCGTGGGTGGAGGACAGGTAAAGTGAGGGGAGATTCAAGGTATGACTGAATAATTAGGCAGAGTCAGCAGTAAATACCAAATTTGTGGGTCCTGTAAATTAATGGAATTAGAGGAATAGTTTTAGGAGGAAAAAGTACAGGAAAAACAAACACAAACATGAACTATTAATGATGCTTATTCACAATTAAAAAAAAAGTATCAAGATTGGAGGCTTAAGATTTTTTTCTTCTGAAATGACTGTGACAACTCACCCACAGTGTTTCCTGATCACAGTGGAGGGTCTCTCCTTGCTTAGTATTTTCAGAAATCCCTTGTGGTTGCAAGGACTCATCTATAGTTGAGTTAGAAAGCGTAAACTTCACTGACTTCAGGGTAAATCCACATTTGGGGAGAAGCCAGATGTAGAGGATTTTGTGAGATATGGCAAGAATATTAAATTAGGGGAAATGGGGGAACATTGAAGGGTTTTAAACCAAAGTGGAGCAAAACATATAATACACATGCGAATAATTCCTATTATAGGATGGGGAATGATGGTAGAGGGGAAGAATGGATGCAAAAAGCTAAACAAAATTCTTTGTATCTGCTTGGTGTCATAGACAACATTATTTTTTAAAAAATGTTTGAAGATGTTTTTATTTTATGGTGGAATGCCAGATATAAACAGAGAAGGAGATACAGAGAGAAAGATCTTTTATCTGCTGGTTCACTCCCCAAGGGGCTGCAAAACCTGGAGCCGAGCTGATCCAAAGTCATGAGCCAGGAGCCAAGAGCCAGGAGCTTCTTTGTGTTCTCCCATGCTGGTACAGGGTCCCCAGGCTTTGGGCCATCTTTGGCTTCTTCCCCAGGCCACAGAGAGCTGGAAGGGAAGTGAAGCAGCAGGATATGAACCGATGCCCATATGGGATCCCAGCATATGCAAAGTGAGGACTTCAGCCAGTAGGTTATCAACGCCAGACCCCATAGACAATATTCTAACATCGTTAAGATTCCTACTCCTTCAAATGCAGGCCTTGAGTAATTCGCTCCCTTGTATACAGGATGGGATGTCGAATCTGTGATTAGATGTGTGAGCAGCTAATTTTAAGTTATTTAACAAAGGAAATTATTCAGATGGGGCTGATCTAATCAGGTGTCCTTTCTGGGGGCCTGTTCTTTTCTGAAGTCAGCAAGTTGGAAGTCAAAAGAGTGACATCACAGTTAAGACCTGGGGTAACCTCTGGATGCTGAGTCTGTGCTCCAGCTCACAGCCAGTAAATCAGCCTTACAACATCAAGACACTGAATTCTGCCAACAGCAGAAATAAGCTTACAATAGACCTCCAAGCTCCCAGCAAGTACTCCCGGATTTTAGTCTGGTCATATCTGAAAAGAAAATCCTGCTGTGCCTGGACTTTGATCCGCAGAAGCTGAGATAATAAACTTGTTGTTTTAAACTTTCAAAGTGTGATCATTTGTTCTGCAGTGAGAGAAAAGCTTATATATGCAGGCAAGATGTCAAGATGGCATCAACGAGAATGGTGTCAGAGGAAAAAAGCAAGTAAACAAAGGCAAAATGGATCCAAGACGACTTGCTGGTGGGCTGGATAAGGATGGAGTAGGGAAAATGAAGGCAGCAAGAATCACTAATTTTTTTTTAAATGCAACTAGATGAGGATGTTGCTTTTTTACTTGACATGCAAAGGAGTGGGGAAAATGATGTTTGCAGCAAGTTAGTCAGATATTTAAATTGTTCAGCATAAAGTTTTATGTTTAAACTTTTATACTCACAAGACATTGAAAAAAATAGTTTCGCACATTTTGAAATAGTTTCA